GTCATTGTTTACAAACAAATGTCCACCCATGAGCCTTTGTGTTTTTAACTTGCGTTGTTATCGTCGCTTGGGACTCAATTCCTGCCCTTGCGCAGGTGACGACCCTCCCGCTTTAAAGAATCAAGTCAGGTCGGCTTTCTGACTAAGTTTTTTCACCTACTGTGGGTGGCTACTTTTATACTAACACGATAAAGACTTTCCGTTTTCGACATTGTGAAATTCTTTCGTTTTTTAGTAGAAGGAACCCTGAAAAAAATTATTTTGACAAGATAATTCAGAAATTTATATTAAGAATAATTTATAACGAAATGTATTCCCTGTGCGCACATAAATTATTTCCATTATTACCGATTACACAATAATAGATACAATGTATTGCTATACTCTCTGTATTTTTTATTTTTATTTGAATGTCTTGAAATATGACTGAATGAAATTACAAACTATTTAGTGTGTTCAACATCTCATGTATGAACAATAACTTTGATAAATATGACTTTTACTTGGTAAAAAAACTGTATTTTTCTGCATAAAAACGAAGGAATTTCACAATGTCGCAAACGAAAATTAATAAGGAACTGGCAAGTTGATAACCACTATCTGAGGGGCACTTTCACTGCAATTTCTATATAATTTTACATTACATTATCAATGACAGAATGGGTATCGAAACTATATCAACTATACGGAGGCGTTATATCAATGATTGGAAGAGACTATATCAACGATGTGGTGGGGGAGGCTTTTGGAGCCATATCAATGGTTGGAAGGGAGCATCTCAACGAGGGTGGGGCATTAAAGCGATGGGGAGAAACCATATCAACGACGGGGTGGAACCATATCAACGATGGGGTAGGGTATTTGAGCCATATCAATAGTTGGAAGAGAGCATCTCAACGAGGGTGGGGCATTAAAGCGATGGGGAGAAACCATATCAACGACGGGGTGGAACCATATCAATGATAGGAGGGGACCATACCAACGATGGGGTAGGGTATTGGAGACATATTAACGATTGGAGAGAGACATATCAATAAAACCTACATAGAAATTATGATGTTGGGAAAAAACTCGATCAAATCTGCGATTAATTGAGCTATAATTGTGTCATATAATTTTTTCGAATTTTCACACTG